CAGGCTGCTGATCTGGTACGTCACGCTGGCCAGGGACTGCGTGCTCAGCGCCATCGTCTCCTCCAGCGCCTTCCGCTTGTCACTCGCCTGGAGGGGGACACCCAGTTGGTGGGACGAGCCCACCCCGCGCAGCCACCACTGCCCTCCATCTTCACGCTGGAGTCACACGGTAGCAAAGATGCTTTCTTCTGCTTTCCAAATGCATCAAACTTCCTCTGGACACACGGACACCCGCCAGGCAGCGGCGCTCGGCTTTTCCAGCACCGGGGTTCCTCCCTGGGATGATGCCATTTTGGCGGTTGCTGGAGCTGAGTGCCCAGCTCAGCCTCCTGCCACCCTTGGGGACAGCCGGCCGTGCCACCGGCCAGCTACGCATGGGACAGCCGGCCGTGCCACCGGCCTTGCCGGGTCTCAGTGCTCTGAACACTTCACGTTTCCTCTTCAGCTCCGCTCCGGTGGGTCCAGCCCCCTGGGAGCAGCCCTGGGGTCTGGCTCGAGCCCGCGAGGCGCCTGGGACGTGGGCTCTGCAAAGCAGGCGGGGACCCCCGCGGCCAAGACGCCCTCCCCAGCAAACGGGGCCAGAACAAACCTTTTCCCTCCTATGTCACCCCAAAAGCTCCTGCCTGCCCTCCCCCCAGGGCCAGGCAGGGAGGAGGAGGAGGAGGAGGAGGAGGAGGAGGAGGAGGAGGAGGAGGAGGAGGAGGAGGAGGAGGAGGAGGAGGAGGAGGAGGAGGAGGAGGAGGAGGAGGAGGAGGAGGAGGAGGAGGAGGAGGAGGAGGAGGAGGAGGAGGAGGAGGAGGAGGAGGAGGAGGAGGAGGAGGAGGAGGAGGAGGAGGAGGAGGAGGAGGAGGAGGAGGAGGAGGAGGAGGAGGAGGAGGAGGAGGGAAGGTGACAGCAGCAGAGCTCCACGTTGGCGCTGCGCGTGCAGGCACCCAGCTCGCCTCTGCCCTGCCAGGAGGCACCTCCGAAACCCCGGGGACAGCCCAGGCGGGGCTGGTGTCCCTGGTCCCCTCCCAGGGCTTCTCTGGAGGCCCCAAACCGCCGGAGGGCTCTCCCTTCATCCCTGAGGGCTGAGCTGCTGTGGAGCAAGAGGGGAAACTGAGGCACAAAAAATAAAAACGCAAGCAGCGGCACGCTGTGCTGGGTGGGAAGCAAACGGGGACGCCCAGGCTCCCGTCTCCAAGGGCAGAGCCTTTGCCGTCACCTGCGGGACCACCAGGGCCTCCCCTGCGGGACCACCAGGGCCCCCGGCTGCCTCCAGCATCTTGCCCAGCCCAGCGCCACAGCCCGTCCCCCCG